TTCGAGACTACCAGTAAATCAGTGTTTTCCCAAACAACTTTTGGGAAAGCAAGGCTCTGTGAAATTCAATGGAAACGTTAGCTCAACTCATATCATTGTGGGAAAATTCTACTACCAGTCATTCATCACATTAGACGAAATAGGGTGAATACATCTCATTACGATAATAAGATAGACACATATTACGTATTACAACTCTCAGTTGGGATGCATGATGAATTTAATTTTTGTGGAAAAATAAAGCCTATTTGATTCGTGATAAGCAACTCCCTGATGTGTTCGAACCAAACTACTTCGCAAATAGCATTTTAACTCATCTCATAATACAAAAATTATGTCTCTAAACAAGTTTGGATCAACATGAAGAGACAGACCAGGAATGAAGATAATAAATTTCATTATCGTTTAATGCTTTTCTTGGATAATCAACGTGAGGTTGCTGTGAATACCCTATAAACGGGTTATTAGGTAAGACAAAGGCTTTGGGAAGAAATTGGAGGTTAATCAGGTCTGGTTATGAAATATGCTGCAATTTTTACACTTACGTTTTGAATTGGACTTAAATTTTTACACCTGAAAAGAGGACAGATAACGGGGAAAATTTAAGGGCATAGGGTACTTTGGGCGCAATTATTTCGCCTCACTTCGTCTTCGGCCGCTCTTAAATATTAAGTCTGTTCCTGTTTATCGACCTGTTTTGAAAGTTTAAATATGCCTATTCTATATTCCTTGTGGGTACATTTTCTTCGGATATGTCTACACTCTTGTAGCAAATATATATATTCATGCATGTTAACCCCCTGAACCAACATGTTAGACTATCCTCTAATTCTGTTGTTTTGTTTGTATTGTCGTTGCAAGAAAGTGGCCATTAATAACAAGTAAATATCGACTGCTAACAATTCGTAATTTAAAACATGATTTATTCTACTGCTCGTCATTTGGTATACAGGCATGTTAGACGACGATGAGGTGTACGAGCTAAAATTTATCAAAAAGAAAAGTTACAATGACTTTTTCCCCGTTGAGAAGCCTTCTGTTGATGTAAATAGGCGATTTGCATTTCTTTCCAGACCTCTAGATCTCGTTCTCTTCTTAGGGGTTCTAACTTTGGCCATCTCCTTTGTTATTCGCTGCCTCCTGCTCATGTCGGTTTCAGATAAGGTAATCGTTTCCTCCCAGGTCCTCGGCTTTTGTGCAGTTTATGAGGGCCATCTGAACGCCAACAAGACAGTCTTACGCTTCTACGGAATCCCTTATGCTATTGCGCCTCTTCGCCGACCAAACGAATCCGGTGAACTTCTACTTGCCAGGCTTCAAGAGGACCTCGGACTCATGACTCCGGGCGTCGAGCAGCCCGAGTACTTTCAGTTTAAGCACAGCCTGCGCTGGCAGAAGCCGATCCCCGTGAACAGCTTCGAGACATGCCTGCTGAGCCATCAGGACCGCTGCCAGTTTGCGGATGGCGGCTGGGCGTGTGACATGCGAGTGCCAAGAGGCGCTAAAAACTGCTACCAATCAGTCCTTTCGTCTGGCATGGCACCGCCAGACGAGGCGGATATTGACGGATCCTCTGAGGGCTGCTTGAATGTAGACATTGCCGCGCCGCCCTACATGGACCAATTGCTACCAGTCGTGATATTGGCTACGGGTGAGCAATTTCTGACAAGCCCCCTAGCACCGCCAGACTTCAGTCAATTGGCCTTCGCCCCGTCGGACTTCGCAGTCCTGGCTACTCAGGCGATTTGGGTTCGAGTCCACTTCCGGCTGGGCTTGGCCGGCTTCTTTTTCAACCTCAAGCGCAACTACGAGGCCGCCAGGGTCAATATGACGACCTCGGAACGGCGGGAGTCAGAACGTCGACTGCACCATGTCAACTTTGCACTTCACGATTTGCGGGCGGCTGTCGAGTGGGTGCATGCGAATGCAGTCCGGTTTGGTGGCGATCCGAGTCGAATCACTCTTCTAGCGCACGGATCGGCCGCCACAGCTGGCCTGGCCCTGCTCAAATGGTTGAGCACCGAGGCAGCCACGGCCATGGATACGGCAGGCAAGAGTTTGGATCGAAGCCGAAAGTCCCTTTTTCGCTCTGTCTGGCTGGCCAGCGGATCAGTCCGCTGGGGAGCCAGCAACTTGAAGCCTGTAGGCGTAGGCAAGACGGCCGGTGGTAATGCAGACTTGACGACAGCCGAAAAGAGGGATAGCAATGACACGGTAACAAGTAGCCCTGCTGCGTCAATTTTATCGGCTGGCGTGAACCGAAGTGAGCAGGCCTACAATGCGCAGTTGAGGCATAATTCTACAAATGGGGGATCGGGAGGATCAAAGGACTCGAGATACAATAACGGGGAAAAGGTTATTCAGTTCAACACAACGGGTGCTGAAAGTGGTCAAGAAAAACCGACCGATTCCGAGGGCCTAGGTAAGTTAAAAGGAGAAGAAACTGATCAGGAACCTTCGGAACTGGATTTTGAGAAAGTGATCAATTCGAGGACGGGCGGATTACTAGATAGCCTTTTAAAAACCTCGGAATGGCAGCAACGTCGTCATTTATGCTGGGCCGATGGCTGGCCGGCCACATCGGAGAAATGTCCGGCCGAGAAGATGTATGACTACTTTATGCGCCACTCGATGCCTCATTTGTACTCTAAAAACGATCTTCTTCGTGAGAGCAGTCTATTTAAAGCGATTGGAGCTCTAAGCCATCATAACATGCCCCTCAGCTGGCTGGAGCCGGACGGGGAAAGCATCACCAATTCGCCGGAAGAATGGACAGCCAAAGAGATTACAGCTCTACTATCAAACGGTAGGTCTTTTTCGATTCTCTTTTATCGTCAAATTATCAACTATCAATAATTATTGAATAAGAGCTTAGCCAGCCTAGGTGGCTTAAGGTGATTTAAGGACTGATAGTTGCGTTTTCATACAATACCATCTAATTTTACATAGATTGAAGGGCATTTGAAAATATTATTGCAGCCATGTCTTGATGAAGTTTCGACCTCAAATAGGTTTCGCCAGCACCCTCAGCGGGATTCGATACCGAGACGTGAGTATCGTGGCGACTAACAAAACTCATATACA